ATATATTTTATTTTTATATGAGTAACATGGAAGTATTAAACATCAGTACAAAATGTAATGTTTAATTATAACAGTCCACCATTATTACAGAATAATTACTACTGTACAGCACAGTTTATATGATCATTACTGAATTACAACGAATATACAATGCACTATACAATAAAGATATCTAACTGTTACACCAGTGTCATAAAGCACTGTCATTGCTGAACAAAAGAGCTATTCTACATCATGGTTCAATATCATTACTGATTGTTCTTCTTGCACAATACATTCTAAACAAGTATTATTATAGATGGTTATTAGTTTATAGAATGCCTTATAATCACAGTAAACCTATTATAAGGAGATTAATTTCTAGAATTATTTGAAGGCTCTCCCTTGGTGAAGAACCTGAGTGTGGCCATTCTGGAGATGAGTGAATCAGGGGACCTAGACTACCTGCGGAACAAGTGGTGGGCCAGTACCTGCCTGCAAGGGGACGTCGAGGGCTCGCCACTCAAGCCTCACAGCCTGGGGGGCATCTTCCTGGTTCTGGCTGTGGGGCTGGCTCTGGGGGTCTTCCTGGCTGTGCTGGAGCTGGCTTTCAAGTCCAAGATGAGTGCAGAGCAGCAGAGAGTAAGTTTAACCTGCACTCTCCCGCACAAACGGTATTTCAGAAGCTAGCTACTGTCATTTCACTGGTTCTTTTTGAGAAAAGCCAAACTGATTTTAGACATCTAAGCTAATAAATATAACATGCTTTTAGCTTTTTTTTATCTTTCTATATGTATATTTTGGATATTTGGCTTAATAAATATCTGGGTCATCAGTATTTCAGTGAAAGGGAGTTATTAGTTTTTGGGCTTATATACTGCTAAAGAGTAAAGTTTTGTTGCTTCATTGACATGCACTGCACTGCTTCATTTTTATAGCACTACAGGTTTTGAAACCCTCTCCATTTACGAAATTAACAGTTTCACTTTGATTAAAAAAACATGTTTATTGTAGCATGGTTTGCATTTGGGAAGGCCCGCATTTTAATGGGATCTGTCTTTTATACAGCACTTTGACTGGGCAAGATGAAATGCCATAGAGAAAATGATTTCAAAAAGCTGTTGCCTTATTATTCAGTTAATTTTTATTGCAAACTGTACATCCACTGTGAAAAATGTAAGCTTAACCAATTACAAAAATGTAAGCTTAATGAGTTGAAATGAAAAGATCCCAATTATAGGTGGAAAAATACAAGACAATTATTGAGTCAAGCATATTGGATAAAGGAGTAAGATGTGCAAATGCCAGTTAAAATTGCATCTTGTCTAACCTCGATGAAACTGAGGGGTTTTCAGCTGAGCTCTTATTTTCTATAATTTCCCAGTGCCTTAGGAAATGGGAAGGAGATGTCACTCTGTGTTGTTCATAGGCCACAGATCTCCTTTTCCTTTTTTTTGCAGAAAGCATGCTGCTCTGTTTTCTCTGATGAACTGAGTCAGCGCTTCCGAAGCAGCACTGTGAAGAAAACCCAGGAACCCTCAGAGAAGAGCAAAGCATAGAAAGCTCCATGGTTGATTTCGTACTTTCTTTTATTTCACATCACACCACAATTAACATCTGGTAGGCAGGATAACTAACAGTGGCAGAAATACTGGCTGTCAAGTTCTCTTTATTTTGCTGGTCTGTCTTCTAGACTATGCCACAGGAATGATAACTTTTGCCACCATTGGGGAAAAAAAAGCCTTTTCCACTGTGAAATGTTCAAATATGATGACATATAGTCTTCTCTTTGTAATTGCCATGCATACAATATACTTTATATTTACCTTAGCTTAGTCAATGTATTGTCAAAACAAATATCTTTGGGTTGTTGGATCAAGTGTTCTGTATTTTTCATACCCACTCTAAGCCTCCACTTCTTAGTTACATATGGTGAGTCACAGGTCACGGTACCTTCCTCCACTCAAGCAGGATATACAGTCTCTGTTTCTGATTGGTAAACTGTTTCATTTGTATGAAGACCCCCCAGAAAAACAAACCATCTGAAATAAATTCAGATTACCTCCGAAAATGGAAACTTATGAGCCTTCTCAGGTTCCCACACATCCTAAAAGTCCTGGGAAATATTTATTCATTTCCAGGTCTGGAAGATTCACAACAATAAATTTAACTCCAGTGGTTAAACTATGGAAAATGAAAGTTGGTTGTGAGAGGCAATGACAGATGTTTCCCTTGTTGAATATTTGTAGAAAAGTCATGGAAATATTCCTTGTGGGATAGTTGGAACCTTATTTTCTGTTGTAGTTGTTTTTGGTGATTTGAGATTTGCAATTTAAATTGATTTTTGCTATCTATACAGGAAATAACTATTCTTTTCTAATTGTATAAAAGTTTATTAAATTCCCTGCCCCACCTGACTGTTAATATAATCCCTGATGCCTCTACTGCCAGGTTCCACAGACACATTCTGACTTGCTGTGTCATCTCAGACTGCCAGGAAACAGGCAGATCTTTCTTTTGTTCAGACTCTTAATCATTTACTGCCTTACTAGAGATTATTTTTATTTTTGCTGTTGTGGCTACATTCAGTACAGTATGTAAAATCTCCTTTTGGTATTGTTAGAAAAGTTTGGAAGCAATTCACTGGCTAGTAAAGAAAATCTAGGAAAGACATCAATTAAAGAAAGTTGTTAATAAAGAATTTGGCTGTTATCATTGGAATAATATTGTAAAAGGGGATAATATACAATATAAAATAATCTGTGTTGGAAATATTCTAATTATGTGGACCAGCATTCAGAACTGGGTCTGCTTTTGAATGTTTTTACTGCTACTTGTTATATTGCAATTACTATCAATTAGGTGATAGGAATCATGACATGGCCATCAAATATTCCTTAGACATAGCCTTAATATTTACTGTATGTGAAATGTGAATGTAGTCTCCTATGTGTAGTTAAAGATTTGACATTCTTTCTTATGTTATATTCATGTGCGAACATATTCATGTGCCAGTCAGAAAGGGTATCAGGCTTAAAAGCACACTGCATTGTTGAATGCTCTATACACTGTAGTAATTTTCTTAAGTTTGTTTCTCCTCCCTTATTATTGTAGTATCTCGTTATAAAGCTGTAGTGTTCAATAACAACTGTGGTTGAAAATTATCAGAGGCATTACTTTCACGTTTTAAAACTTATATCCAGGAAATAGTTCTTAAATGTCAGTTTTTGATAATCAAAACAATTATGTGCTAGTATGAGTACATCATTTTTAAAGAAATACACTCTGACGTCCTTGCTTCATATTGTTGTATTAATCTCACTTAATGTACAGAATATATATACAGTAATGTTACTTTAGAAATAAGAATTAGCAATGAAATGTACACCCATCACTTGTTGTTAGACATTTAAAAAGAAGAAGTAAAGGATTCTTTCTTTTAAGTAATTTCAACAGTACTTGTTCTCTTAATTTTTATGCTTCTTAAATAAAGACAAGATCTAACAGACATATTTGTGTTTATTGACATAATTAGAAGACTCCTGGCCTGAGACCAAAATGTGTATATACAGTATGTACAGTAAGTTGTTCATTTTCCATTTCAAATGGTAATAAATCATTTTCCTTACCGCATTTGCACTGGGTGTTAGATTCATTTGAAATTTTACATTAAAGCAATTAGTTTTAAATCTATTATAACAGAACTAACTTATATCAAAGGAACGCATCTTGAACTTCATATGCTTAGTAAGGCTGCAAACTCTTACGGCCTTTGGGAAAAGACACCTAAGGAATTTTACAATAAAGAAAACTGGGATTCAAAAAAACTAAGGATGAAGGAACACCAGCATGATAAAAAATCTGAAACCCTGGCTTGAAGATGGCAAATTCAGCAGTCCAACAATATTAATGTCTTAACATCAAAAAGTGAAATGCAGAGTTTCCTGCAAAGCTTTAACTTGAATGGATTGTGAATCTGTCTACTTTTATTGAGTGAGCAAGATGCCAGATTGATGAATCTTGACATCCTGGATTTAATTGGGGGAAGTCTCACACCAGTTGAGCAAGACTTCGCGGGTAGCAGAAAGAACTGCTGCTAAATCACTGCTTGTGTGAACTTTTATTTTACAAAATTAGTTATGTAACAGGTGTTACAAAGGGCTAGAACTGTTGAGGCCCAGAGGGTTACCATAGAAACAATTCTTAGGATTTAAGGGGAGCTGATGTAATCACCTATCTGATTTTGTTTCCCTTTTCCATTATGTGGAACCTTTTAACAGATTCAGCCACCAGATGGACAGTGGGAGATGACTGGTCTCCACCCTCTGTCTTCAAACTGAAGAGTGTAGAGGAGTAAAACGAAAATGTATCAGACACTTTAATGATTAACGCGTTAAACACATGGCATGATGAATGATGAAATCTGGACTGTAAATCAAAATCAATATTTATTCATAACTTTTTTCAATTTGTTGTATAAGTCATAAAGAGGTGGATCTCTGTTAATTATTGTAGATGTCATTACAAATATAAATACATTTTCTATGAGAACATAAAGTTACAGGCAGCAGAAGACCAATGGGTCAGACTTGACTGTTTTCTAGTAGCTTAGTGGTCTAAAGATTTCACCCACCACCCTATAATAGTAATAATTACAATAATGACCTGATGCTTCTTGAAGTTTCATGTTTATACAACCATAACCAGGTGGCTTTCTGATAATGAATGAATTGAAAGCAGTGCATTTTCATGAACGTAGAAGAACATCTTAAAAAGTCTTCAGTCCCAACCCTAAATCCATATATACATATACACTATATACAGAGACAAAGGGGAAAACCGAATAGTAGGACTACTTAAAGTCAGTAGGAAAAACAGGTTAGTTTCTTCATTGGTAGATGGGCCATATGGCCTCCTCTTGGAGGTACTACTTCTTAATAATTTAAAGCATTGATCTACATTGTGATCCAGACTCGGAACTACTGAAGTTTGCAGAGAATAATCAGTAAAGTAACTTCAGAAAGACAGAATAAATACCTGACAGCTGACATTTAATGTAGACCTCTACTGGACGTTTCATAAATATAACAAAAACAAACTATTAATATAAAGTGAGAAGCATCAAGTTTGAAGAGACTACGTTTGGATGCAAATGAAATATTAAGATATCTACTGTAGTGAAAAGTTTTAGAATGCGCTAGTTAGACCTAAATATGAATATTTTATACAGTTTTGGTCATGTCACAAAAAAGATCTTGTTTCTCTGTAACTAATTCAGAGAAGAGCAACAGGATATATTCTGAGCCTTAAAAGATTACGTTACTCTCAGATTAAAATAACTGATTCTTCTCAGTCTTGAAATGAGAAAACCTCAAGGAGATTTAATTTAAGTATTCAAAATCCTCAAAGGGATTGACAGACAATTCACTTCAAAATTAACAGTGAAACAAACAACAGTACTCAAGTGTAATCTAAGATGAAATGCATTTAAAATACAGAACGTCAGACACTTTTTTACACAAAGGATTGAGGGAGTCTGGAATGAGCTACTCAGCCATGTCGAGGAAGCTGATTCCCTGATTTATTTTGAAAAGCACTTGGCTGATCAGATCAATTAGCCACAAGTAACCAGATGAGTGAGATGGGGCTGAATTATAGTTGACACTTTGTTCTTAAGCTAGACATACGTCTTAGGCTAACAAAGAATAGGGATTCTAAAAATAATGTCGTATGTATTTCTAATTTTAAAATGTGATATTTTAGTTATGTAGAAAACAAGGTAACAATTCCTCAACACCGTACGTGCACACTGCACTACCGCTCTTGATTTGGGCGTGTTGTCATTCCAACTGAGCTGTTATTCATTAGTGCTAATGAATCCCTTTAATTGATCTAATTTGCTCGTTTACAGTATACGTACTTCTGCACTCCGTTTAAAAAAATACCATATTTCATACTTCAGAGGTGCAATTGATTACATGTTGGGAGCGCACTTGGACGAGTACAGTTCTGAAACTAAGAATTTGAAACAGGGTTGAAATTAATTGCAAATCGCATTCAGCCAGGAAAATGAAATCAGAACACCTGGCTAGCTCACCTGACTCCCCCACCGCCCCCTTTCCGTTGCTAAGGACTCTGTGCAGAGAGGAAGATGGCTGCCTCCCAGAAACAGCAGAGAAACTCCCAGTACTACGTTGGAGAAGTGAAAAGCCTCCTTCGAGACGGTGCGTATTAAAACTTTGCATGATCCTTGTAGTTTATGATGCTTAGTTAAAAGTCCATGGTTTCATAATGAAGTTAAAATATTGGTCATGGGCTGCGGGTTTGAATTTTGCACTTTGTCTTCTTGTTCTTAGGATACGGTTTGTACGTTTACCCGAACAGTTTCTTTCGTTACGAGGGACAATGGAAATTGGGGAAAAAACATGGTATGTGTTTGTTTGATTGTTTTTTTTTTATTTTACTCTATCCCACTACGCACCATCTTACTGTTGCTGTTTCCAAGGAATACAATCCTATGTAAACTATCCAAAACTGAACTTTCATGTCAAGATATATTGCAGAAGGAAGATCAGCATCCAGTGCTAGGATGACCAATGTGTACTACTGTAGGTTATCCTTGTGGTTTTATGATATACGAAATTATTTAAATTGTTGAACGAGTAATGTTGATTTCCATTTAATATATGTTAAAGCTGTTTGGGGATTTAAACGCAACCGCTTTAGTATAATGAAACGCAGGTAATGCACCCGCTGAGTGCGTGAGTTGACGATTTGTTTCACTAGACGCGCTTCACGCAAAGTTTAATTGTTGCAGGTCATGGAAAACTGGTGATGAAAGATGGAAGTTATTACGAGGGCGAGTTTGTCAATGGAGAAATAGAAGGGAATGGGTTGAGATATTGGGCTTGCTCAGGTGAGTTTTACACTTTACTTGCAGATGTTTTTTTAAACAAACTAGGTATTATTATTAAGAAATAATTCAATCAGGGGAAGCTCTACAGAGGGAGATGCTTCACTTTCTTGCCCATATTCAGATATCTAATAAATGATATCACCGTTTGCGTTGCCCTTTTGAACCTCTCTGAGCCTCCAAATGCTTTAAAGCTTCGTGTTGTATTGGCTTTCAAACGACATCTTATAGAAATCATTGTGTGCCTAACTGGATTTGCATTCAGCTTGTCAATGCCGTTGGAAATAGAACTCAAGCTGGTTATATCTATAGTGAGGTGATGTAACGGCAATATTTCAGTATGAGATTGCTGCATGTTTTGGCATATTAAACAAAAATAAACAAGCGCTCACGTGTCTTAGTAAAAAACATTTTTTTTTTTTTACAGGTGCTGATAATTTTACTTGCCTAGGAGTACTAGTGATACAGATCGCACAGGGAATTTAACCTGTGAAAATCACAGCTTAAATAAGTTTAAAATGTATACATTACATTATACATAAAATGGGTAAATCTGCACTTTTTAACTTATATGCTACTGCATGAGCATTGCACTTACAAACTGTTACAGACAGAATCATTAAGGGTTCATTTAATTAGAATGTGTTTTGGTCTGTGTAACTTTATTTTTTTTCCATTAGGTAATACCTACTCAGGGCAGTTTAACTCTGGAGAGCTGCATGGGTATGGGGTGATGCAGTATGGCACTGGTGAAAGGTTTGAAGGGGAGTTTTCCTTTGGATTAAGAGAAGGTATATTTAATTAGAAATATAAGATTCACTGTAGATATAACATTGATTTTTCCCATTTATTTCTGAATCCGGAGCAAGAATAAAAAAGAATAATGCTTATCTGGATGTATTTCTTTTATTCTACTGTATAGGACATGGGTTTCTTGTAGACAAGGAAGGTCAAATCTATGAAGGTTCTTTTCACAAAAATAAGAAACACGGGGAAGGACAAATGACTTACAGGTAAAACTGCTAAAAAATGTAAATGTGTTTGGATGCCATGTGGAAGCTTGGGTACTGTATATACAGAATGTTACGTCCCCGTGCGTGTCTGTTTTTTTTTCCACTTCCTTCAGGTAACTTCCTTTCACTTTCACTTCAGGTAACGCCCCCCATTGGTCCATCACTCTGCCGTCACTGTAGTTATGACATCATTAGTCAACTCCTGGCCAATCGGCAACCAGACCTCAAGTTTAAATACCTGAAGAAGTTTTGACTCCCTTAGCTCTGGCTCAACTTACAACGTGTATTGCTTGACCTTTCGCTTGTTTTGTTAGCTTTGGCTTTTTTGTTGTTTTTGCTTGTGCTTGTATTGCTGTGGTCGCGCTTGTTATTCGTCGTTTCCTTTTTTTTTACCTTGCTTGTTCTCATTTGTTACCCTATTCCTTGCTTGTGTATTTTCTTCGGTATTACCTGTTTTCCCATAATCGTGCAAATGGTTCACTTGTGTCGTGTTATTGTTAACTGTGAATTTGTTGTACACTTAGGGGAAAATATGAGTATTGTACCTTGTTGTTAATAAGCTTCCATAATGACATGATTTGTTTTTTTATGTTGTTTTTTGAGTGGGTGGTGCAAAATACTAATGTTCCACTTTTTTAGATTAAAGAATGAAAAGCATAAGACAGGGGATAAACTGCAGGTTACTGCTTAGTTTAGTTTTATTTAATGTGTAGTGTCTGATATACTGTAAGCTCTGGTGATGATGAATAAAATAAAAAAGAAACATCTGTACTGTGGCATCCTAAAGTAAGATTTGTATATTTTGTGCTTTGCAGAAATGGGGATCAGTATGAAGGAGACTGGATTCTTGACCAAAGACAAGGTCATGGAGTGATGCACTTTGCAGATGGATCAATCTATGAGGTATTTGAAGATATTTTATTGACCAGTTTATTTTTTTTCTAGCCACCTGCACTCTGGCTGGTGGTGCAAATTTGTGGAGTGCAGTTGGGTTAGGGTGGGTGTTCGTCAGCAAGGGACTTCTGGGCATTTGGTGATATAGTGGATCCTGTGATGAACAGGGCTCACACAGTCTTGCAGGTGTGTTGGAGACATGCCACTCCTCCAAGAGAGGCTACCTCTCCTGTAGGGTGTTGTGAATCTTGGACCATGTGTTGTGGAGTATGCTGATGGGTCCTCCTTGTTCTTCACTTGGTGTATAGGAGTTGTAGTCAATGAGTCTTGATTACCAATTCCAAAGTGAGTGAATATATGATGGCATCTTTCATTTTTATTTAAATATCTCTATTAATTTCTAAAAAGTAGAAATAGCATTTGTGAAGTTAATTTATTCATGACAAGTTTTCTCCACTCTGTGGTTGACATTAAATGTTGTCAGTTCTCTATTTAGGTCTAAGATGTGATTAGCTGATGATGCACAAGTGTTTTGGAAAAAATAAATACATCCCGTTGATCCATCATTATGTTCAGGTAATTAACTAAGGCCTTTGGTCAGTATGTCTTTAACGTGCCTCAGGTCTGTCTTGTTTGTTTTACAGGGTGAGGCATAGTTTCCATCTGTTTAAGAATAGTGCAGTCAAAGTGGGTTTACAAAATGCTTTATAAAACATTTAATTTTTATTGGCCGTATTTTAAAATGCAAGGAACAGGTTTAATGTTTAAAGGCAAAGGAAAGAAACATGATTCAGCAGTGGAGCCTTCTACACACCTGAAGAAGTCTCCATAGCCGAAACATCTGTTTCTTTTCTTTAACTTTCAGCATAACAAAATCCCGGTTGTGAAGCTTAAATTTCCTATAATTCTCAATGGGAAGAATTACACAAGCTTCCTATTTAGTCTTCACCGAAGTTTGAAGTCTAGGTATTCTTATGAGTCTTATTTATTCAGGCAACAAGCTTACCCTGTTCTGAAGTGACTTGCAAAATAGCAACAACAAGTAACAATGTTAGGTTTTTAAGGATTTATATGTAAGCTATAGAAAATGGTGGTGTTTAAACTGATTCATTGAGTGTCTCAAGCTTGTTTTGATGTGAAATTCCTGTTTAAAAGTTCACTTAAAGCAACCTGAGAATGTACAAATAAAGACATTTCTATTAGCTGTTGAAACCCCTGTTCAGCACTTTATTCTGAAATTAAGTAGCTTAGTAAATGTGCTCTTTTATATTGTCATGCAATTTAAAGCTCTACTTAGAATTTATTATTATTATTATTATTATTATTAACCAATGCCAGCATCTAACAGCAAAAGTGAATCTTTTCCCAGATTCATCAGTTGTTCAACACAGTGGTCTACCACTGGATGTCACTGTTACATTATGGTTGACTGCATCCAAAGTAAAACTGTGGAGTTTGCTTTTTCGTGTAGTGTACTGCGGACTGTTAACTGGGAGCTTCTTGTTAAAAAATAAGAATCTGTTTTTCAGTCAGATGGGTAACTCTATCAAGGCCTTTGAACTTGTCTTATCTGCCTTGGTGTGGAGAAAATACCTAATTTCATTTTTCCATTTTTAACAGGCATACATTTATAGCTGCTTTTTAATAGAAAGCAATGCATTATTCCATCTTGTACTTTAGATATTTTAGCCCCTTCACACAGATTAGCGGTTTAGCATCCCTTTTTCTTCCAAAGACTGATTTTCTTTGTACAGTAGGTGTAGAAGGGTAAACTGAGCAACATTCTAAGCTTCAACCTGCGCTGCACAGTGCAGCCTTAACCATAAATGTGTCGCACGGTAGCTGTGATACATCTCTTAAGTTTATTAACGAAAGCTGTACTTAATAGTCAGTATGGTTTTAAATATCTCTGGAAAAGGGCAGTATGTCATAAATATTTAAGCATACAAAAAAACATCAGTGCATATTTAAAGTGCTGCTTTTCTAAATAATTCCTCAGGAGTGTGGCACTCATCCGAGACATTCAGCAGCCTCACTGCATGATGAAGAGAATTGACCAGTCAAATGAAAGGGGAACTGTAGGAATGCTAGATTGTACAAGCCCAGAGTGGGCTTTGGGTTGGACACCAGGCTTAACAGCCTTCTCTTTCTGACAGTCGTGTGGGATCTTTAATGAGAAAGTAGTCAGGACCTTGGTATGGTACTGTATTTCATCTGAAGAATAGCACCAAGTACAGCATGGTATCTCCGGTCATTAGGGGCATTGGTTTGTGTTCTAGAAGAAAGCACCACCTCCTGGTCCTTCATATCCCTTGCAGCAGCAGTGTGATCTCTGTTTTGAGGACCTCAGAACAGTACAAAAGATCCATAGCAATAGTTTGGTTAAAAACTGCTTTTCAGTTCATTGTCACCACTGCACTAAAGACATTGTCTTATCTCAGTTCATAGTGAAGGCATACTGTATATGGAATGTGTGTAGTGCGATGGTTCTGATATAAAAACAAATATGAAATCTAAATTGTTAAAAACTAAGTAAAGTTTTAGCCCAATGAATATTTTTGGTCACTGTATAAAATTTTCAGGAGAAAGTGTGCTACACTAGATTTGCTGACATCTGTGGAAAGTCTTTAATTCACTGATGTCTTTGTATGAGTTGTAAGAGGAAGTGACCCATATGCCCTGTGACAATTAAGTTTCTTAATTGAAAATTCAATACTTAGTAGCATCACGATCTTAATTACATAAGTGATACTCGATTGAAATCACTTGCTAATAAAGCTCTATTCCTCTATTAAATGCTGCCAGAATGTGAAGACGCTCTTGGTAATAAAGCATTCTTGTAGATATCACTGTATCCCACAAATCAAATGCACAAAATGTGGTTGCAAAACAAGAGTTTTGCTACAGTGCTTTTACAAATCTAAGTTCCTGATTAAAATATGTGTTCAAGCCATTTGTAGCTTATGTAGCAAAAAACACATTTATTTTAACAATTTCTTTCATTTTTCCTTGAGACCATTAGCACCACAGGGCAAAATAAAAGTTAAACTCTCAATGTCAATCCTATCATACAGTACTTCTGTTTCAAAGCTACAGTATACCTTTCTAGACCTGTAATAAGGGTAAAAAGGAAAGGAGTTTTAGTTCAGATATGTTATACAGCACTGAATGAGTACAAATAAAAAGAATGGATTCCCCTCCTTCATGCAGAGGTTCGTTCATTTCTTAACTGTGCAAGGCCAGCCCTTCTATTCCTGTGCATACTTGGTATGCAGAGCCCTGACACATTGATTCTGCATCGGCAGTGAGGTGTGAATTCATGGTTTCTGAGTGCTGGAGAGCAGCCCAGTGTAGGCATGTATTGATTGACTGAACTACCAGCTTCCCCTTTTCAGCAGAGAATACCTATCGTACTGTACAGCCCTACCTGAGGTTTGCACTATGCAGAAGGATTGGAGAACTAAATCAATGTGTCCTTGGCTGAGTGCAGGAAGCAGTGGGTTTAGCATGTGAGCCATACTACAAGGGATTAAAAACAAGAACTTCAATTTTTACCTTACTGTAGTTTTAAAAGTATAGTGGTTTTGCTTTTGTCATTTCCTCTTAAGTGTTTGTCTAGCAAAAAAGGTATTTTGCAGTTGCACTGTCTGAGACTTGAATTTGAAATACCCGCCATCCTTTGTCATATCAAGGAAGGGTAGAATATTACAAAATCATTAATGTATGCTGTTGGTTTTATACATTCCACTTGAATATTATTTCTAATCAATTTATATACAGCCCTGGCAAAATATGACAGGGTGGTCTGTTCAGTAGGAGAGACCTATCCTGTTCACATTAGTGGTATTGACCCAGCATGAGACATCTCCCATTATTTCAGATTGTAAAGTGGTAGGTGACCAGGTGCTGTCCTCTGTGTGTTGTGCCAGGGGCAGAAGGGTGGTTGAATGCACTATGCTTATGGAAGGATTGTTCATTGCCTAAGACGGCAGCAGACCTGGCTAATGACAGACAGCTTCAAGAGTTCACACTCAGTGCCTGGCAGATGAAATAAACTGCCAAAATGAAGCACCATTCAGGATACAAAAAACTCCTGAATCAAAGTGATAGATGAGTTTTCCAACTTGAGAAGACTCCTGAATGATCCTCTAGATACACAAGCATCTGTGAACAGCAAATGGAATTGATATCCGCATATAATTGTACAGTATGTGCTGTAAGTTACAAGTTGTGACGTTTCTGTATGTTGGTGGACTATTAATGTCGGAGCAATGTTCGTTTGCAACATGGGTAGAGAGCAAGATGTTTGAATTAGAGCTTAGATTCTATAGGTTTATGTTTACCATGTGTGTAACCTGAAAACAAGTATATTCTTGGCATTCAGTTTTCTAAATCTTACTTTACTTTCCAAAGCTTTGGGTTAGGATGAGCCTTTAATGTTATAGAATCACACAAATGTACTGATTTGTAATTTATTTTACAATGATATTTGTAAAATAGGAATGCTGTTAAATGCTGGCATTACCCTCAGAAGACTTGTTAATGGAATTTGTTTTATCATCAATTCTCTTTAATCTTTAAATGCAATGATGGATTTTTTACCAATTTCAAACTGACTGATAAATGGCAAAGCCTAATTTTGAAGCAAGATGAATATTGGGGTTGTACTTACAGTATGTGTTGTAATTGGTTTAGTCTCTTGTATTTCAAGGTTCATATATCAGTCAAATGTTAGTTTTGAACTGTTGCCTATTTTCCAAAAATCTCAATTTTATTAATGGAAGGATTTACAAGATTTTTCTATATTGGTCTTCTTTCCGATATCTTTATAGTTTGAGTGTTGAGTATAACAGCATGTATTAGCACACATAATTTTATAAGCCATTATGTAAAGTCCTTCTTTTTGTATACCCAGCACGTTTGTATTTAAATATATATAGTGCATTAATCTCACTCAGCTAGAATGAAAGATGAAATCTTATTACAAATGATCTCCTGTCAGAAGATTGTGAGAGCGACTGATTGCTTTCCTGCAATATAATTTTATATTTTATTTAGATTAATATAAAATTATATAGCAGCCTTGAGACATTTAATAATTGCCTAATAGCAGGCCCACCTCAGCCCCACGGTGTCGTGATGCAGAGTATTTAAACAGCAGTAGACATTATTAGCAAGACGAGACGAGTGACCGCTCTGTGTTCCTGCAGTGATTGATGTTGTCTGCCTGCGGCGTCAGTGTCTATAACAAGACCTGTCTTCCATTGCATGCAAGTCCCTTATCGTTTTGACAGCAGAAGGGTTTACCTTTTATTGAGTCAAAGGTTTTTTTTCCTCTCCTGTGCTGTCCAAAAAGAGGTACAGATTTGACTGCAGTGTCTTTTCACTTTAACTGCAGAGCAGGTTCTGTACAGCAGTAACATCACTTCACATTGCCCTTGTGTTCAGTGAACTTGAAGCCTGGTGGAGAATGACTGGCCTCTAAAAGCAAGGCACGCACTGGTCTTTGTTCACTACTACAGTTTGAAGACATAAAATGACCCCCCCCCCCCCCCCTTCCATCTATCTTGGAATCCATCAAACCCTTTTTAGAAGGGTGTGCATTAAACCAGGAGAATTTGGAGATGTGGCTTAGAATTGCAGCAATCCTTAATGATCCCATTCAGAATACATGATGCAAAAAAGAAAAAACGGAGTTGTTGCCATATCTGATCTTATCAATACCATTTTTCTCTATGGTTCAAGAAAGCTGTGTCTTGAAGGGGATGCATGTGTTTGTGTATGCAGATGTACAGAAATTGTGTAATTCAATTACACTTTGACAAGGTTTGATCACATGTATTTGAATGTATGATCTCTAGCCCATCCAATTTTATTTTCTATTTAGTTTTCAGATTCACAGTTTCTGTTATTAGTGGTGATTTCCTGAGGTGCTATAAATGCTTTAAAACTGTCTAGTTGTATACTTTTCCTAGGTCTGTGCCATTTTTTAAATCATTTGAATGTGCCCCTCCTCCTCCAATATCTTCTCCCCAAGTGATGGCCTAGTTTTCAAAAGCAGATTGTGCCCATTCCTCCTAGCACTAGGCCTGCTGATGTGATCAGGATTAGAAATTCAAATTGTCCCTGTCACATCTTTGAAGTATTGGTTGAGGGCTTCAAGTCTGGGACCCCGTGGATATGCAAGCAAAGCCTCTGCATTGATCCAGCTAAATGTGTCTGACTTCTAGATTCGCATTTCAAAGCGATGGCATCACAGCCCTTTGTTGTGCTGCCTTATAACTACACATTCTGAAAGTCATGAATTATGTGCACTAAATCACAAATGGAAAGGGGTCTGTTTTAAGAAAAATTCTAATAAGTTTTCTTCCAATTAATGTTAGATAATCAGAAAAAAATTGTGATCAAAAAAATTATTTGAGTGAGAAGAATTTACTTTTTTGGGTTCGAAAAGCAGCTATCATTTGATCCCACTATCTGGGTTCCTAATCTGTTTTTCTTCTCTTTTCTCTCCATTAATTGAGACATTGAGTTAGCAGAATAACTGAGGGCTGTTGAGATATGCATTTCTTTATTGATCTTGACCAAGAAGAATCTTTATTGAATGTTATTGATGAGCTCTTTTCAGGTCAGAAGACATGTTTGGATACCTAAATGTATTGATGAAAAAAAAATCCTTGTGATGTTGTCAGTATGATTACTTTAAGCTTTGATTGTGAATGTCGAAACCTAAATTTCAGCTACTTTAATTGCGATTACTGTCCTATGTTCATAAAATCGCTTTTAATTTTTTTTTCACTCTTGCCATTTGCTATACCCAGGTACTTGTATGAATATATGGGTGGTGCTACAGTGCTCATTGAAGGTTCATTTTCATCTGCTAAGTAGGCTTTTGACTCTTACAATGTTATTCTTGGTAGATTACGGAAGCTGCAGGACAGGTATGTTATAATTTAACAAGACAATGTCTTCCATGCTTTGTCAGTGACTCCAAAGCTCGCTAATGTAAAGACTATAAATTGGACCAGTGATGGAGATCAGCTGGGCTCTGAAATGATTTGCATATCTTGAACTTCCATCTAATCCAAAAGCACTCTTGCAAAAGTTAAGGCTTCTTATTTTTTCCAACTAAGTTTAAAATGTCAACAATGACCTGCTACTGGTTAAAAAAACATCAAATCCGAAACTCAATTTTCAATTTAAGTGTTTTTATTCGAGGACTTCCAATATGTTTCAGAATCTCTCTTATTCTAGTTTCTCTTTCTCCTTCAGTTTATTCTGTACGTAGTCCAATTGGGGTTGTTTTCAAATAGTTTTCTCAGAACGATATTGATAAAGTAATCTTTGAAGCTATTTTGGACTTCAGGTAGATCCTGACATTCTCATGTAAAAGCACATTCTGCCTCTTGGTCCTTTTATTGCTAATATTGTAAACTCTACATAACTCTCCATTGTAGTGCTTTTTGATCTAATGTTGCAACAACTTTGTCATATTCTTAAGAAATCCAACTTCTTGATCCAGTTTGTAGTGGAAGTTGGCTAGAGACGTTTCAACATAGTTTTTGCAGCTTCATCTTACTCAAGGTTTTGTATTTAGTCCTCTGTTGTTCAGAGAGTATCGTTAGCTGCAAATTACATTTTTTTCATACCCTACAAAGTTCTCCATGATCACGATATTCTATGTTTCTTGGAGCAATGGTACATACTCCATGTGTTCTGGTATGATCTTTGAGATCTACTGTACAAATGCTGACTCTGGTTGAAACAGAAAGGCTGCCTGAAATCGGATGGATCTACAGCTTTTTGCTATTAAGTTCCCCGTCCTACAGTATTTGATATTTGACTAAAATGCTGAGTTTTTAAGTCAAAGTAGAAAACCTTTCTATTTGAACATGCTTTTACTCACTGTAGATTTTTTTCCCCCTATATGCAGTGTTTTACGTTTGTCTGTGCATGCTCAAAGATGCTTCACCAGGAAGAGCACTATACACTGTATAAATAAACTTGATTTGAATTGGCTTGACTTGTTAAAGCTGATGGTGATGAAAGTTTTCTTCAAAAATGTTTTTGAGACTAGATAACCACTAACTAAAATTCCTGCACGCCACCTGAAGAATAAATGGAGAGGAGGCATACTCTTCTAATTTAGGAGCCATTTCTTCTGTAGGAGAATGCCAAATCTGAAACAAAATAGAAAACAAGTGCATAAGAACTGAGTCTGTTTCCCTTTTCCCCTTTGATTTAAAACCTTGAAAGAACTAGAGCTGCATAATGTTTTACTGCTGCTGAAAACCCCAGTGTAATCTGATAAATGCTTCTGAGCTGGGTGATTTTACCAGAATGTTGTTTTGTACAATTAGCCTTCATAACTGAAGGTCAAAATTGGCAATGCCAAGACCTTTACAAGCATTAATCATTTCTAATAAATAATGAAGTGCATTATGATGATATACTCCATTATCATATTGCAACTGTATATACTAAAAATAGGGAAAAAAACTTTAACTATCTCCTTAACATTTTTCTCAGCCAGTAACTGTGGTCTTGAATTCTTTCCAGGGACAATGGAGAAACAATCTTTTTAATGGTCAGGGGACAATGATTCACTGCTCTGGTGTCATCTATGAAGGCTTGTGGACAAGTGGGCAGCCTGCTGGTGAGTACCGTTTGATTCCAAAGACTTATTAGCAGCAAGAGACAGGGGTCCCACCCTGCTGAGTCTCTCTTAATTGATATTGCCTGTCTGCTGGCCCTGATATTTTTAACAGCCTTTCATTTGCTCCATACATGGAACTTATCGTCATAGCAACAGCTGAGAATGCAATAGTTCACATCTGTAGGAACAGTTAAATTGAGGAGAAAGAAAGCTAGCACCTGTGGCTACTATTACAGACAGTTGACTACTGTTTTTGTAATGTTTATTAACATTAATGCTTTTTTTGTATGACCTGACTGTATAGCCATAATGACTTAATTCCTTTTCTGAAGCCTATATTTTAGTGTAATTTTGAGTTTCTTTACCTCCTTTTTGTAGAAAATCTAAATCTACTTGAGTATTTTCTCCAATGCAACATAATTAAGGCTTTAATCCTTACCTGTATAATCAGTGAATGTTGTTTTGTTTGATGCAATAGTTAATCTGTGCACAGGCATAATTCTAATTTGGTTAATACAATAAATGAGGTGTGGGGTTTGACATCTGTGATTATAGGTTGTAATAAAAAACGATATCATCCTATAATGATACATCTGCTCTAGTTTTACATTACAGAGTATTGACTGTATTGTACTTTCTCTTTTGGTGGAAAGTAGTTTCTGCCTTTTTCTTTTTTTGTTGCTTTGATTTTCTTTTAAGTCTTAATTTCTCCTTTCTATTTTAATCAGTACAAAAACAATTAAATGACTACCCTTAATTCACTTTAGCCTCTTTAAAGGTGTGTTGTTATATATAACCACAAATTACTACAAAGGAATGTGGCTTATTTTTTTCCTGATCTCGAAGATAGCACTCTTTTTACAGGTTTCTAGTATTTGTTCAGGACTGCGTGAATGTCTCTGCAGAGATTATGAAGACTGAAATGAAATCTAGAGTAACTGAATATAGAGTTCTGTGGTCCTGTTTTGATTTAAAATGTTAGCAGTCTGTCCCTTAGTTTGTCTCCATGGCTCCCATGTCTTTGGACACTCGGGTTCACGTCGTCACTGAACTGGACCCCTTCAGTCTGTTATGGATGACTTAAGGTGTGACTGCATTCTAATGGGACTGCTACAGGGAATTTACACAGACAGGATATGATCATTTTCAACAAGCCTTTTCAATCTTCAGCAATGTTCTTCAACTAGACCTGACATTGATTTAGACTTCCTGTGAATGAAGCATCCATTTACATTGTATGCATATAGCAAATAGTACTTGTTAACTGTGAACTGTTGGGTATTTTTATTTCCTTTCTTAATTTGTGTGGATGTTTGGAAGTTAAGCTCTTGTTTCTTGAGACAGTCCTGTTTTTTTTCTTCATGTTCTGTTAAGTATTTCTAACAGTGTTAAATTCATGTACACATAAGGGTATGCCAAATGTATTACTAAAGTTTGCAGATTATTCTGTTAGGGTACAGTTTCACATGTTTGATAGAAACTACATTCCTAAGCAGTCCAGAAAGCAAATGGATAAATCTAATCGCTTACATGCATAGTAAGATACAAGGTTTCGTAGTTTAATTTGGAAGCCCTGACTATGTAGTCTGTATGTGTTACACTGATAATTCTACCAAATTATTCATTACAGGAAAAGCATGAACTTTTTACAGATAGTTATTTCCTTTTAAGAAAAACATAAATATATTTATTGCATAATAATGCTGGAAGTCATAGGTTACTATTGAAAACCGAATTAGCACTGTGTAAATGTTAAGTGCTTCCTTGGTACGTTAAGAAATACAAGAGATTTAACTGTTGCAAGAACATGTTTACTATTACATGTAATTGATAAATGTAAAACTATATAGTCCTAAACCCTGATATTGCCCTAATAGTCTACACATTTTAAACTTTGAAGAATAAGAGTCTTTCCCCAGCCATTAATACTAAAAATGAAGCATTTTGGTTCAGCCCAGAAGGCCACATTGGAATATATAGTACACCAATATTAAACTGTCTGTAACATAATTGGTAGTTTTTGCCACAAGTCTTTTGTATTTCTTTTGTGAAGAGATTATAAAGATGCAAATGTATCAGGGTAGAGATTAACAGCAGCTGAAATTAAATTTAAGAATATATATGCAGTGATTATAATATGCTGGGAAAAGCCATGAAATAATCCGTTTAAAAGAGGCCACTCATCCATCAGTTTAACTGTTATAACTGCCATTAAGATTATTCTGTGTTTTGGGCTTGGGAAGTAGGGAAATGTGGTGTTGTAATGCACTGGCTTTTGATTTCATCTGTCAAGATTACTATCTGCATCAATTTGATCTGAGTGAAGGGGAATGACAAATGGTAATTCTAATAAATTATATAATCTTTAGTTATCTTTGAAGTGTTGAACCATGGTCTACATTTATTTTGTCACAGTTTATTCAGAGTTAGATGGGAATCGGTTTATAAGATCTGCCTCTTCGGAATGCAGCAGTCATGGCGCATTCTTATCGGCCAGATTGTTGATTTAACCTTTTTTTTAATTAATTAATTTTTAATTTAAAATGAAGTTAAGACGTTTAATGGTCCGGAATTCTACTTGTTAGCGACAGATTCAAGGATTGCAGTGCACTTGTATACTACAGTACGTCTTCATTCTCAGTGCAACACCCAGGAAAGCAATAAGATTTCCTAAATTTAAATTGGCACAGGGGAATTGAATTCCACTTTCCATGCACTGCATTTCATCAGTACGTTAGAATTGGTTGAAAGCATATTTTAAACACTTTTTTGCTCTTCTCTTAAAATGCATCTGGTATAATTGGTACAGCACGTGAATCATGCTTGTTCAACACTTTTAATATGCTGCAGGTGGTGCATCTAAGATTGTAATTGAAGGAGGAGATATGCTTGAAGTGTTCCAGAGATCACCTTTTACTCTTGAAGTACAACTTCAAAATGAAGAGGAGGAAATCATTACAGGTAAGTTCTTGAACAGAACCGTTGCATCACATGGGGGAAAATGCAACTGGCAAAATAGGATGTTCTTACGGGCTTGTACAGTGGTTTAGTAAATCCAGAGGTTAACTCAAATTTAGCTTTCAAGATTGTGGAAGTTAACCAAGGACTTAATCAAGTTTAAAATATTTTGTCTGCTCTGTTTACAGCGAGGTGATTGAAGAAGTGTAGGGCAAATGTGAACTTGGCAAAGTATTTATGGGCTCTTTATTATCACCTGCACTTCATCAAAATAGCAAAATTGCAGGACGACATTCAGATTTTAGGGGAATACAGTAGTTTATTTGGTTAGATTAGTCTTTAAACCTTTTTAAAGAAGTTTTTTGGATTATAAGGAATTGTCTAAATGCAAATCGTTATCTGGGCCTTTTAAGTATCTTGTATCCAACAGTATTATTGTGAGTTCTTCATACTAAATTTTAAATTCAACAAGGAAAGTTAAATTACATGTCAATTTTATACTGTTTTTAATGTAATTTTTCTAACCGTAGTTTTTTAACATGGTAGTTAAATATGGTACCTTTTGTAAGCAGTTGTGTGTCTCGGAAAGATCGAAAACATCCCACATTCTTTCTTAATTGCACTGCACACAGTCGTACTCCTGTTATTTAATTAATGCCCCCCGTTTGTTCTGAAACGTTTTGTTTTGTACTGTATGAATTCCGCAACTCAACAAGGCTTAGTATTTTAGAGAAGAGAAGGCACTAGAGGCATAGTGACTGAGGATGTGTTTGTAATTTATATGTACAGTTCAATGACAAAACATTGGGATGTATCTAGGGTTTAATGTTGATTCACCTAGGTACTACAATAAAAAAGAGCTCTATTTTTCTTTAATTATACCTCCTCTCTGTTTGCAAGGTGAGAATGGTCGCGTTTTGCAGATTTGGGCTGGTGTTCGCAAAGAGGAAGTCCCTCCCACCTCTTCCTGCACCACACTATTAAAGCTGATTGAAGACATAGAAGAGAAACCTGTTCTAACACCATTGTAAGTAAGCAGAGTAGTCTTTTGGATTGATATTGATATCGATCGATTTGATTCCAAGAACCTGAGATTTAAGACATAAGCTTGAAGTTTCTTCATAATCATGTATCTTGATTGAAATTATGGTTGCATGTAAAATGGTCTCAAATGCCTAAATACTTTTAAAAGTTCCTTTTCATGTTGAGGCAAAGATTGTATTGTTCTATATAGTTCCAAAACAAAACAGTGAATGAAGATGACCCCAACTCCAAACAAACGTCATTCAATTTCCTAATAAAGGGGTAATGGAAAATAGGTGTGTATGCAATGAGTACTATACATCTTAGTCTGCAGCTTGTGTAGTTTCTTTAGTCTGAAGGGAATACTACCCCTTATTATGTATAAGCAGCTTTGATAGACTGATTGAGCACAGTTTAATTTAGAAGTTCAGCCTTCACATTCTGCTATTAAAAATAAGTAATAGGTGGCAGGAGGCAGTGAGCTTATGTATTATGGGACATAAGGGAGGTTAGATTTCTGGCTATGAGCTTATCAGAATTGCTCAAGATACTGAAATGTCAGTTTTCCCTTGCCTTATGCACAGCGGGTTTGAGTGTATTAGCTACCCTTTGATGGAGCGAGTCTTTGAAAGCGATGACTCCAGAGGCTCAGCCCCCCTTGCTGTGGCTAAATCCGGATTTGTGCAGACGGACTCGCCAATCCCTGAGGGGGAATCGCAGTCTGGAAGTGGATCAGACACCGTGGCACTCGGAGGGGGTACCCCTAGCTACCTGGATGGTGAGTGCAGATAATCACAGTGCTGATTTGTCATGCCCATCTGTTTAAACTTTTTTTTTTCTCTTCTGTCTGTGTTGATATCATCCCAAACCCAACAGACTGAAAACTAAGTGTGTGCTAAATTCTAAAGCTGAGCCGGTTACACCTTTTTAAAAGAGTTATTTCAAAAGAATATTGTTTGCTCTCACTGTCTGTTTTTAAATTCTTAATTTTTTGGTTTAATTTAATTGATAAAATATACAAATATCAATTACAGTTGATGTAATTGGCAATTTGTGCTTTACATACTCCTATCTTCCACTGATGTGCTAATGTGTTGGTGCTTCAACACGCACAGTAAGATTGAGTTTAAGAGCAAGAGAGTCTTTAACATATAGCAAGAACTAAAATATTTAGAAATCTTGAAAATATTTACAATTTGGTTTGTCCATTTTGACCACTAATCTATTTTTATTCAAAATAGTTTGTAACTCTGGGTCTTTCCAGTTATTAAACCTAAAACATGTTAAAGCAAAGTGTTGCATACTGCTACATGCAAAGCTTTGGTTTTTGGTTATGGTTTTCAATACCTTTGGAATGTGGCTTTTAAAAGTTAGTCTTATGCATTCTGTAGGAATAGCAAATCACTTTCAAAAGGATGTTTTATTTGTGAATAATATGGAAAGGAAAGTACAAAGGAATTAGTTTTGCTAAGAATGTACAACATAAACAATCCCAATTCACCATTCCAATATCCAAACAGTGAATAATTTTTATTTTAACCAATTTAACTCTGCATTTATTTTTACATAGCCTTGAGTTATAATGTCAGTATCAAATGTGACTAAAGATGGGTCACAAGCTACAATGTTTCCATTAAGAGTTCTTTAAGGGTATGAATCTCTTATAAAAGTGAAAAGAAGTCCAGCATTGGGAGAAATGAATCAAATATGATTTAAAAAAATGAATGGATTTGAATAGCATGGTTGTCATTAGTTTTTCCAGTTAATTTGTACCATTATTGTAAATACTGAATAACTTGGTCATATCATCAAATGATACATTCGCACCACTGCTTTTTAATTGGTTTATATCTTTTCACCAAGGCCTTTGTTTCCCTCAGTTATTGATTCAGGAAGGCCCTTAGTTTGACCCAACAAGTTGCAATCATACTTGTTTGGCAATGAAACATATTTACTAATACAGCAACTTTTCTCATGCTTAATGTGATACCATGAGATGTTCATAAGTGTTTTGAATGATATGAGTGATTAAGATTATTGAAGGCTCCACAGGAAATGAATCTGTGAATGTTAAGCTGATGTTTTTTTTTAACAACAAACATCTCCAGCATACATAAGTGACCCTTGCTTTTCTCATTTCCTTGCTTGATTTGATACAGTTTTTTTTCTGCAGCACCATCATTTTTATGAATAGCTTAATTTCAACTTTTGCTAGTGTTCTAAAATGGGGCTTAGACGACAATTGATTAAATTAGGTATTGAGCTGGCCTAATCAAGCACAACACTAGACCACCTATGTTATGACTTGTTATACAGAGCTCTCCAAAAGTATTGGGACAGCGAAGTCAAAACAGTTTAGCAGTTTGTGCTTGTGATCATGAGATTAAGATGAATAAGTAATATACAGTATAATGTCAATTTCTTTTGGGGTAATTACATTTGGTGACATTAGAACAAAAACATACTTTGTGATCACCCCAGTGATTTTAAATGACCATACAAATTGGACACATTCATTTTACACAAATTTCAGCTCGCAGAAGTATTTTGTTTGATTTACTACATGAAACCAGCAATCCACTGATGTCCTTAAGCTCGGAATATTTTGCTGCAGCCACTTCCCTGGGTCCCACGGGGTTTATTCCCTGTTTCTGAAGTGTTCTGACTTTTTTAGCATGTAAAGTACACACTCTATTTGGATTTAAATCAAGAGATTGACTTAGCCAGTCTGGGGCTTTTTCGCTTTCCTCTCCTGATGAATTCCGTGGCTGCATTGCTCACATGTTTTGAGTCATTGATATGCTGCATAGTAAAGGGTCACCCAATAAGCATTAATTATTTTTGTTCAACATACTGTAAGCAGACAAATTGTTTCATCCTTCAATAAGGATGGGTCCGACAGCTCCATAAGGGGTCATCCATCCTCAGGCCATGACAAAATGCTCAGTGTTTCACAGAGGGGGTGGTGTCTTGGGAACATCTGCAGTGCCTTTTACCACACATTTACCTCTTCCATCACTGTGGTAAAGGTTTATTATCATGGCCTCGTCTGTCCATCTAAAGCTCACCTGGCTTGTTTTCGTGCTTGCAAGCGAATTCTAACCTGGGTTTTCTGTTCTTGGTGCTGATGAGGTCTTTACATCATATGATGCAGCCTGCATCATTCTGTTGTCCATCTTTTGTGAAATGAGCATTTTGATACCTTCACCCCTGCACCTGCATTAAGGGTCATAATGATTTCCCTGGCATTTGTTTGGGGTTTTCTGTTATCCCTCTGACTGGTAATTATTCTTGTGGTTTCTTCTTTAGTCTATTGCAGATGTTTAGTTTTGGTATGTCCAATTTTTGTGCTTTGGTTCCAATCTGAATTTCTCTCATCTTTCTGCTTCCAAATTCTATTTAATGAGAAAGTATTTCACTTTTGTTTAGACTTTTGACTATGGACTCCAAACACTGAAGTCAAAGCAAGACAGGTTGATAGGAGGTTCACAACTCTGTGGGCCTAATTACCCAACAATAAACACCTGGTCAACAAGGGACACCTGTCAGCAATTTCTCCTTCAAAATGAAGAGGTTCAACACTATCATTTTGTTTAATTCGCAGTAGACCTGAATTGACTTTATTAAAAATGAAAGACTTAATTGTCCTTCATTCTTTTTTCCCCATAATTAATGTTTATTTAGAGTTAATAATGAGAGTTCTGATTAAGATTTCACTGTCCAAGTATATTTGGAGGAACCTGTAATTTAGCTGGACATTTTTGCTACTTGTTTGTGTAAATCTATGGACAATAAACCTTGAAGAGATTTGTCAGTGATATTTAATTAATATTTATCAGGCTTACCTGGTAAATAACAGTTTGAAAACGAGATGTTAATACTTTTGTGTGTATTTGATTGTCTACTCTGTAATGATAGTTTATATGGTTCTGCTATCCAGAGTACTGTCATGATTACCTAGTTGCCTATAGTAAATGTAAATACTGATCAGTATGAATTTGTTGGACACATTTAAAACAAAACTATTGCTAAGATTATATTCATACGGCTCCTTGAGCACCAGTCAGACCATATCTTCATGCACTCCTGATTTTTAGGCCTGTTGCAGTCTTTTATTTTCTAGTGCACATTGTTTAAATATCACAGAATTGTCAAGGAGAGCAGCTGTGCATCATCCTACTGTACCCATTTGCCCTTTTCTTATATTTAACGGCAAAAAAGTATGTCTGTAGTATAACTCGAAACCAATGCAATGTACTGAGATGTCATGTACTGTATACCACTTATGACATGTATACCACAAATAACGTTTGGGTTAAGAAGTGAGATGCTGGAATTGGAGTAATTGCATTTCTAACATATCCTCATTTCTTATTGCGTTGCTGTGCTTCGTTAATAAAGTCTGGGTTCAGACTTCACTGAAAAAGTTGTTTTGCACACAAACTTTTGTTAATTTAAATATTTCATTTTTGCTCCATTATTCTAACAAGATCTTTCCCTTTTAGACCAGTATGTTACCTGTAGAAATGAGTGGTGAAAGCATGTTACTGCTTGGAAGCAGGGTGAGCAACAATCCAATTTAAGAAATAAAAATGGTGGGGTTGATTCAGTCAACATGGAATACCTCCAGGTCTCAAAGGTTTTTATTGTAAACCACCTTGAGGATTCATAATCTTCTGTATCTGTCTCTTAAATCACTTGTAAATATGACTGCACAGCAGTATTTTTTTTAAAATTTCAATCCCTTAGTCAAAAGAAGACCTTCCAGAGAAGAAAGCTCAAGTTTACAAAGGACTTTTCTTGCCTGAAGCCATTTGTAACACACAAAAATCCAATAGGCAATCCATAAATCATGAAAGGATATGATTAAAAGATGTTGTTGGCAGAATCTGTGAATTAATAATACATGTGTATTGAAGATCCATCTCATCAGGAAGACCTCTGAGGGTTTGGTGAGCAGGTACATGGAGAAGCTTTGGACTTAAGAGTCTGGAAGAAGGGCCAAGGGTATTGCAGAACTCCAAAGCTGTTAAGAAAGCACTGACTGTGTTCTCCCCTGGTGTTTCCTCTCACAGAACATCCTGCAGATTCTGAGAGAACCAGTTTTCATTTTAACGTATCGCTGGAGAATTCCTTAACTGAGCAGAACTTTCATACACTGCACAAAGCTGTCGAGTGGGCAACCTTCATTTTCCTTGCAGTGTGAGGTGTGGAATAGGAGTGTCTGGGCGCACGGAGGATGTTTTTTTATTGGAAAGTATGATTTTTAACTACCGAGACAGCATACATAAAGAGTGTTTTTTCAGAATGTTGATGAAGATACTTTTTGACTATTTTACAGTACATATGTGAAAGCAGTAGAAGTATATACTACTCTTAACCAAAAAATGCATACGATCTACTGATTGATTTGTTAATCACAGGAAGGAAGTGCTTTAAACCAACTGCTGTTTACACACTAATTGGTAGAAATGACCTCAAGTGTTCCATAAATCATTCACTAAAGGTTGAGTGTAGTTCAGATCCAATCTTAATATTAATTTTCTCACTCAGAATACACGCTGATTGAATCAGTGTATAGCATGCTTAGCTTGTGTAAAGGAGTTGTAAAGAGGTTATTTGCATGTCCATTATGTTTATAATATATTTTCTATATAACAAACAACAGTTACATACTGAAATATCATATTATGTAATGCATACACATTTTTCAAAATCAGTTTAGCAGCCTTGGATCAGATGGCATCTGTTTCAGATTTTGTATTTATTTCTGAAATCTTAGAAAGTAGTGCATGATTTCTCAAAGAATCATTATCATGAAATGATATACAGTATAATGCTTAAATGACCTTACGGTTTGAGAATTATCAATTTATATTGTTAATTTTATTAGAGACGATTGAGACAATTGTGACCTCTAATGAACCTATATCATAAACAAGTAGTTTTGTTTACCATGATTAGAAGCAGTCCTAGACTTCCTCACCAAACTAGCATAAGATGCTCTTGAATAAGTGATAATTTAGGTGTTAGACAACTGACACGATTTTCTATGGAAAGGATCATTTTTTAAAGGCTAAAATAACTTCACACATGTATGCTATATGGATGCCAGGTTCTGGTGACAAATGTATATACAAGTACTCAGTGTAAGCCCTTGCTCATGTTAAATAAGGGAGATGGACAGATCTAATTGTAATCAATATCATCAATCTAATCTAAATACCAATTACCTGCTGTCAGATTAAAGTCACTTAATCCTGAATCCCCACCAAGCTAGTTTGCAGAACCTTGCCGTGTCAGACTGTTATCATGTTTGAAACGATTACCTCAACAGGATGCAGTCTGATAAATATTTCATATTGGTCTCCATTAAAGAAAAATAAGCACTTCACCTAGAAAGATGAAAGCAGCAGCATTCTTGTTGTCTGCCAAGTTAACGATCGCATACTTAGAGGAGATCTATCACATTCTATGTGGGCAAGTTGTCACGCCTCCGGAAATTATGCCAAACGTAGCCTGTTACTTTAAGATTTTTTTTTTAATGCAACAGTAGTGTAATATATTGTATTTCTCGGTTATCTTTTTGTTTTGGTTTTCTACCAACTCCCTTTCTCCGTTTCGTATTTTTAACCTTTGGGTAATCCACAGGTAACTTGAAATACATTTCTTTGCAAGTCTGCCTTGACTTGCCCTTCACTACAGGAGAGGCAGCTGAAAAGATTCTAAGGCACTTGGTTTGAAGTAAGGAAAGATGTTCACTGAGCAAGAACAACTTGCTGCTTGGGTCTATAGCAGTGTAAGAAGGAGTAGTGGTGTTTTGGAACATAAATTCCCAGTGTTTTTATTTATTTATTTATGAGAAGATCTTTTAGATCCATCTCTAGTTTTCATGTGCAAATACCTAGTTACTTCTAGCACCAAAACAGAAGTTTATTCATTTTGATTCTGTTTTTTTCTAAAAGGAGCTAATTTAAACTGGAAGGTAATGGGAAATACAGGGTGTGAAGCTTTCGAGTTACTTGTAACAGGATAAGATGTGTAAGCTGTAATTCTCTTACATTTCTGTCATCTCTTCATTATGACTGCAAAACTCCACTGTTGTGGCTCTAGTTGCTCAGTTCTTGCTACATTTGAGATCCAAGCCTGTTTAAAATCCTTGCCTAAATCCTGTTTTCAGATTGGATTCACACCTATGTATGACTATAGAGTAATGAAAAAGGGTTTTTATCCTTATGATCATGTATAGTGGTACAATGTTTTTACTGTAGTTTGATCGTGGATTTTTCTGTAGTTTCCCATCAATTTGCTACACTATGTCATAGGACTACCATTATCAATGTTTAAAGAATTCTTCCCATGGAACAGCATTGTGTTTCTATGGTCTAGTATAGTAAAAAATAAACATTATGACAGTCTGAGGTTGTTTACCTAACAATTAGAAAAGCCAGATAGTTGATGTTCACATCCTTTTTTTCTCTTCAATCACAAGGATGGCCAATGAGTTGAAATCCAGACGGCTGCTTCAAAATATTAACTTTCTAGCTTTATATTAAGTTAATATTAACTTTCCAGCTCAGCATTTTGTGCAGTATGCATTTTCTGGGATTTTTTTTCTTAGATATCGGAAGAGTGACTAGCTTGTGTTGAGGAGATACAGCTACTGTACTTTAGAAATGTTAGCGTGCTAACAAGCCCATGTTGATAAGCTACAACGGAAAGGCTCTTATTTTGGGCGCCTGTAGCTATAAGACCCTGACTAAGGTATGGACTTCAGGATTGATTGTCACCCAGTCTTACACGGGTTGTGGTTATTCAATCCACTGTAGCAGCTGCCTGTTCTTGAGCAATGCAAACCTTTTTTTTTCTTTTGAGGGTGAGATCTTAACCCCCTAAATTTGGCAAGCATTCCCAGCTGTTCTAGTATTTGGAGGAAGAGATTTTCACTTGTAGTGGAGGATTTTAAAGCTTAATTTTTATCCCACATTTCCAGGAAAATTCCCATTTGAGAGACCCTCTCACCTCCATGACTGTGGTGCAATGTATGATATCTAATAATCGTAGAAGACCCAAAGAAGCACATGTGTTGCATCTGGCCAATCTTGCTACTTGATTTAAACCATGGCAAATATGATTCCTTATTTATTTAATGACTCATAAAAATAGAGCAGTGTCTAAAAGAATCATGCACTTGTAGCAGATTGCCAGTGGCTAAAAGGTTATATCTAAATGGATGTATACTTTGATCTCTTACTATTTAAAAGGTACATCTTATGTGAGTCATTGCTGACTTTTTTTTCCTATACGGTGCAGCCAAAGAGCATCTAAGATGAGTAGTGATGAAGGGAGCAGATTAAAGAGATGCTGTCAGTTTGATCCATTCAGACATTTGTTACTGTACCTTGAAAAGCAGCATGAACCTCAAACAATTTGTGTATTTTATTGCCTGCAAGCTAAACATTTTCCAGTCTTAGCCAATTGGTTAAATTGGCTAAGCTTAAATTTATGGGTTATAGTATGTTGAACTGGCAGTCAATGTAAGTTCTTTTGACTCCCAATGGTCTATGCTGAGTTTTTCTGTGAGTTACAGAACATACATTTCAGCTTCCCTTAAAACAGAATTTTTTAGAGAAATCAGATTTGTTTTAATTGATAAAGAGCAGTAGTGAATCCCCACATTCACTTTTAAGTAAAATCTTAAATGCTTTCTTGCACTGATTTATATTAGCATAAAATGTTTTCACTTTTGAAACCTGTTAAATTCCCCACTTGAAAAAGGGTCATTTATTACCTTTTATTAAAACATCATCTTCCAGTTTTGTAATCAGATATCATTTACAATTATTGTAAATTTTATTTTTTGGGTTTTACTATTTAAAAATGTGAAAAATCTTAAATTTGTGGAGGATTTAAAAATTACAAATAGCTTATGATATTCTTTCTATAAATGCACCATATGAATCTAATATTTATTTTGATGCCCTTACAAGGATATGAGTGCCTCAGTTTATTAATTCTGAAAAAAACTGGTTCTAATTTTAAACCTTTATTAGTTGTTGATAGGGATACAATAAAATAGAAAATTTACAAGAATGTCAAGGTATACTATTAAACTAGTAAATCTATATTTACCATCTTTAAGTCATCTTATTTTCTGTCGTGTCTGAGCAGGGTGTTGGTAGTGATGTCAGATCCTATGTCGACAAGTCCAGAAATGGTCTAACTGAGTTATCTACAAGGCTGCATTGAGCTCTCTTCCTAATTTAACCATCTGTATGTAATTAGCTTTCTTTGTTATCATTATGTATATATTTTCTGCGTCTTTGCATCTGTGTTCTAGAAATCTGGAAATATTTACTATCTAGTTATAAATGCTTATTCCAATATACTAGATAATCTGTCAGCGTGTATTCAACTGTTCAAACACTTGCAAATACTCATGCTTTCTTCCTTCACATACTGTAACATGTTGAGGTATGCAAGTGCATGAAAATAATATATGAGAAGAGAGAATCTTTCTCTTTCAGTTTCCAGGTGCTTAATCTGCAATATTCTAAGAAAGTTTCAGCCTAATTGGTAAAGAACTGTTGGCCTTGATGCTGTGCTTTTTTAAAAGGAGCCCTAGGATTTTTTTTATTGATCCATTTCAAGTTGTGTATTTCAGTCACATTTAAAAGAAATTCTTAAGACATTGTCTGACCCACTTTTCCCCGTTTTCTTTTCTTCTAGGAAAAACAGATGTTTCAGATCAGATTGGAGAGAGTGAAGCTACTGCTATAACTGAATCAATTTCAGGTAATTTTGCAAGAGTGCAAGTTTTTATTCTCACTACTAAAAGCATGTTTTAAGAAGGAAAATTAAGAATGTTTTTTGTTATAATATTTGATATGAGAACTTGGTGACAGTTAAATTACCAGAACGGTGCTGCATAACTGCTGAAGTAAGATAGAGGTTTTGCTATAGTATTGAGGTTCTATTTAAAGATTTTGCTCAGTTGGTAAAAGAACATAATGTGGCAATATACATGACCAATTGTATTTTTACATTATGGTAATACTCTTAGTTAGGACGTTCATTCCTTACTGTTCCGTGTGTGCAGTAGTTCCAGAATATTCACAGGCACCATATTATTTTTAATTTTATCGCATGTTGTAAATGGCAGTGTGAGCAAATACAGTATATACAGTAATCCTTGAGAGAGATGGGTTACTGCTATGCTGTTTCATAGTACTGCCTTTCTATGACAGCTGCAGAGGATCCTATGGATGTTAATGTATGCACGAAGCATGGAACGTGCCTTCGCAAAATCGACATACGATATTCTTTGCAAAGAACAGTCTAGGAAGCAAGGGCTCTTGCTTTCTTGCCCTTAGACATTCAGTGTGTTGGACTGCATTTGATTCATTGATGTTTGTACATAAAAATGCACCATTTCCCTTTTTTACATATTTGCTAATACAGTAACTCAGAGGCAAGTGTCGGATGTGAAAGCACACTTCACCGCCAGTGCCTGCTGGTACAAATGTAAAGGTCAGGGCCTTCTCTAAGGCTTCTGGCATCTGAGAAATGAGGGAGAGCCCTGTCAGAGGCAGTCAGACATGATGTGTATCTTCTATGCTGTTTCATTACAATTGAAAGAGGCTTTAAAAGAGGTATCTGCTATGTTTATGCTATGAATCCAGAATAGTATTATTTTAGTGATTTTCTTTTTTTGCAATTTAAAATATTTTTAAAAAAATATATCTTAAAGGATTCTATAATACATTTCCTTTTTTAAAAAATAATATGAGAGTATAAGCTATATATACACGTATAGTGTGTGTGTGTATCCTATACATCTTTGAAGCAGCTTGAAACATGTTGGTTTTATTAGACAGCTGTTATGTCTTGACTTCATTAAGATAAATCCTTCTATAATCCTGTTTTTTTCCAGTATCAATATTGGAACATAAAATATTGTTAAACACAGAGATGATTGTGTGAGATTTGCACCCAGATGTAAGAATTTATTAGAATAAATGTAATTGTACAGTGTATGGTTTTCATGACTTTTCAAAGTTTGGTACAGGCCTACACACCACAATCAAAAGGCCATCCAAACCCTTTACCTTGTATTTTGCCAGGGAGCTGAACGTTTGTGCTGTGTACATCTCTTATCTCCCAGCACTGGCTGATTGTCAGGCTGCTCTAAAGTTCAGAGAAGCCCTCAGTCAAGTGGAAAGTAACTGGCGATAATCCATTGCTCTTCATGCTACAAGAGTGGTTTGAAATTTGAAGGTCAGACTGATCGTGTTGGATCACAAAGCAGCCTTGTTAATTTAACTGCCTGCCTCATTGCTTTCCTGTTAAGTTAGGTGAGAAAATTGACCCTTGCTAATTTTCCCTTGCCTCTGCCCTTATTCTTTTAACAGGGTCCCTGCAGTGCGGGCATCACAGCCCAGCCCTTAGAGAGTACTTCATTAAGTGCCCCAACAAAGAATAGGGACATTGTTAATGACCCAGAGCACCTTGTATGCTTAATTATCGTCAAACTAGAAACAAACAGCCGTCACTCCTAAAACATATATATTTATTACTTTGGTTTGCTTGTTAGCATAGCAGGAAAATATTTGGTGAATGAGATTTCATAAATGTGGTTTGTCCTTGCATAAGACATTCATTGGAATTAAATTTAACTCGATACTGCAGCTGGTCTGAAGAACAACTTAATAAAACTCAAATGTTACGTGAATGTGATGCCCTGAGTATATTTCTGCCATTTACAGAATAATTTAAAGTTCATATTAAAACCCAAGAATGCGCTGTCAGTATTAAAAATTACAGATGACTGTAGCTCATATCTTTGTTCTTTAATATTTGTGTACATCTGTCAGCAGCTCCCCGTGTTGTGAATATTTCTGTGGACTGCGATATGTATGTACTTGTAAGAAAAGTCCTTTTCCCTTCTATGGGAAAGATTCAGCTCCATTTGAGGCCAGGTATCGGCTAAGGCGGGTGTATTCAGCAACTGAAACAATGTATTTTTATGGATCTGTCTTGAATATTGATATTTAAGTAGAAGCCCTTAAGTGCTGTTACAATTAAAGTAACCAGGATGCTGTTTGTTTTGTACAAGAGAACACTTTCACTGAAATTCCAAACCTTAAATTTTTCTTGTTTCCTTCAGCCCTTTTTCCAGCATCATGTTTAACTTGCATGTTTAGACTCAAGTGTGTTTTCATTATGTCTTTCTCCCTGTACTACCTGAGAAAACGTGTTCACTGTTCAGACACGATAGGAGGTAAGCAGTAGTAACAGAGCCTTATTTACAGTAAGTGCCATATCCTGACTTTAAAATGTAAAATTTACAGTTTCTCCATCTAGTTTTATAATATATCTGGTCAAATATGAAGAAAATCCAATTATGTTTTATTGATCATCAAAAATATCTGGAGGCTTTGGCCTTGAATTTACGAGGTAGGGGCTCTGACCTGGCCCAGGCTGAATAAATCAAGGTCATTTTCATCTGGTTTCAAGCGGAAAGCTTCCTATTTTTTTCAGCAGCATGACCTGCAGTAGTTTGTTGGAGGATTCTCCTGCCCCGATTCCACTGAATTCAACTTCAGTGGCCATAACGACGGCAGTTTGATCCGGTCACCGATACCCTTTACATGGCAGTGCCAAGGCCAAAGTCTGGAAATTCTCAGGTGATACAGGCATGCGTTTTCCCCACCAAACAATGAAGGTTTCACTTTCCCTATGAAAATGCATTTCTCCATTTGCAAATATAGAGACATGCAACTTTTTTACTATTGTCTGTGAGAGGTGTTTTTGAAATAATCTGATAAACTTCAGCAAAAAGAATAAAAGATAGACATAGGGACCTGAATGGAAATTATGAATATATAGAAAGTAGGACTGAAAATGAATCATTTTTACTTGCATAAAATCAATTTTGGATGTCTGGAACACAGTACCAAGCCATTGCAGATAAAACTGAGATCCTACAAGAAACAGCTGGAACTGCCTCAATCCATTTCCCTGTGTGCTCTGTCTGATCTCTTCCTTTTATCTAAGTAAGGCTATAAACTTATGATTAACATTTGTGAAGATCCACCAATTACAAGCTTCTGCAGGTTTCGCTTAAGAGTGATTTCTTTGAGGAGACCAGAAGACAGGGATGCAGTGTTAATTGAGATCTACCACATCTCTGGGAGCTTAAGACAGATTGTCATTAAGTCAGTTTAATGAGCCATCCCCTGGATATCAGCACATGGTACAGCAATGCTGTCTTTACCATACAGACCAAGAAACTTTCCTTGTGGCAATGGGAATGTCATAATACTATGGGAATAAAGCTGGACAATTTTGGAATGCAACTTCAAAAGTTTGCAGAATACAAAAAAAATCAAGCATGTCCTGCAAAATTTAAGCATTATTTTCAGCATTATTGGAGCATTAATCAGCTCATTAGATATAAAATTGCAATAGATATGCAGCAACCAGTTCCAATTTTTTTGCAAGAGTGTAGTGATTAACTACTTAAGAGTCCAGATCCATGGGTTTTTTTAAACTTGTAGCCTTCAGAAACAAGACCAGAGTTCGGGGACTTGTTAAGGTTAGCAACAATTTAGACGAATAGTAGGAAAACTAAATTTGAGTAGAGGCATAGGAATGGAGTTCCAGACACAGGTTGTTGGTCTCATTTTAACAAACTCAGCAACAGCAGTAATATCCACAGCAGTAAAATAACAGAAACTAAAAGTTGTAAGAGCTGGAGTGGGCACACTTGACACAAGAGCAGAAAGTGAGGTTATCAACTGGTTATTAATATTTTTTTTTGTTGTTGTGAAATTGCATGAACGTCTTACACTGTACTCTGTGACCCCCCTCGGTCAGGCTGGAATGGAAGAATAGAGCCAAGCTCATGGAGGTGGCACAGGTTGCCATTAGACCATCTTTGTAGGCCAGGTTGTGTTGTTCTAAGCCTGTAGATGGAACAGCCAGTCCCATCCTCCTCCACAGTCACTTATGCTCACTGCCATCGTGAACTGCAGCTCATGTACCTGGAGAAATAAGCAAAAGGAGAGATGAGGTTTATTGGGAGCTAGACAACTGAGAATTTGTGTACTTTTTCTTTATATAAATATTTTTTTTCTGCTAGTCTCCGGTTTCTTATCAAAAAGCACTATAGATCTAATTAAAGATATTTTTTGTTAGGTGTGTAAATTCCTTTATTCCTTCTTTTTCACCTTTGTTAGCCAATTGTGCATCTTTTTCCTGAATTAAAATTAATTGCTTTTTTTGGAGCTGATTTGTTCTGGGGGTTTTTGGCTGCTTTTAATCTTTTTGTTCAGTTCTGCTGCTGCTGCATTATGTGTGTTGGAACGCACATGAATTGATTGACAGGCCCCCCCAAAAAAGGAAAAACAGCGATTATGTAGATGCTCAAAATACTACACCACTTAAAACTTTCAGTTTTCCAGCCTTAGACTGACATTGTGTGGGTTTAGAATTTCAGCTGAAAGTATGAGATGAAAAGGGAAGAAGCCAATCCGTCCAGTAGGCATACATTTTATTCTTACACCTGAAAAAGGCTCCACAGCTGAAACGTTTTTCTTCTCTTTTCAGAATGGAATAAACCTTTACTTGTTTCATACATTTGATTCTGTGCACTAAAATAAGTAATTAAGATGAACTATTCTCCAACACTGATGGCATAGTGGTGCAGTGTTCAGCATTGCTGCTTCAAAGCTCTGGGACCCTGCGTTCAAGTCCAGACCTAGAGTGATATCTGTGTGGCGTATGTTCTCTCT